ATGCGGATTGATGCAGATTTATTTGCACGTTTTTGTAGATTGAATTTTGTTTAATTTATTAATATAAATTTTATCAGTAATTTATTTTAGTCTAATGAAAAGTATGGTATGTTATTTATGATATAAAAAATATGGTTGTATGATAAATAATATATAATTGAAAAACTGGAATATATAATCAAATACAATAATATAAAATTAAAATGATAACACTGAAGCAGTATTTCAGTTTTTTTTAAATAAAATTTAAAATTCAAACTACATGACTACTGATTTTTTCATGGCTTTTTGTATCACACTGTTTTACAGCACCTGGTTTTAAATTTACATGAAAGTACTGTAAATGAAATCGAAAAAATATGTTAATTTATTAGAGTTATTAAGATAAATTTTAATAGAGTTACTTATTACCAAAATATATAGCTGTGGAGTTAATTTTTTGCATTATTTGTATGGCTCATTTTTGGATAGAGCAAACATTAACAGTTTTATACACAAATTAATAAGACCGAAACATTGCAAAACTTACTTCAATAAACTAATTTATAATTTTCATAGAAAATTAAAGATATAGAGAATTCTGAAGAAAAGTAAAAGTTATGTCTAATCTACATTAAGACAATTTTCAAATTTCTGCTTTTATATTTTCTTATTAATTTTACTAATTCATACAGCTGGAGGAATTTGCAACACCTGACATATCAGCATATGAAATGCAGCGATCACTAGCGGTTGATCTGTCTAATTTTTCTAGAAAAAAACGCTTATCAATGGTAAGTAATCAGTAAAACCATTTCATCTGTCAAATTTTAAATTAGAAATTGTAATTTTTCATTTTTGATAACAATAATGATTGTATATTTTGTATGGCATAGCATCTAATATGCTTTTTGAGATTGTTTTTTATCCCATTTCTGTTATCAATCCGCGTATCAGAATTTTGGTTAGTTCAAAAATATCTGCACATTGTCTTAAAATCTCCAGATTAGAAAAAATATTTAAAAGCAATTATTTTATTTATCAGAGTAAGCACAAAAAGTAATCAAAAGTAAAACTTCGGCAAATTCCAAAAATTCTTATCATTTTGATTAAGTAAATACCCAGTTTATCAAAAGCGTTTCAAAAGCAAAAGTAACAATCTCCGAAAGTTATTTAATGCTTTATGTCAGCAGTTTTATTTAAAAATTAATAATTCGAAGACATAATAAAATCTATTTTAATTAACCAATTTATGATTTCCCTATGGAATCAAAAGTGACAAGAATCTTCAAAAAAAATCCTTTATAATTAATATTAAGGTAGTCAGTCATATTGACACTGAAAATATTATAAGTTAATGTAACCATTACATCTTAATTTATGCCTTTTTTAAGTTAGAAAGCGCTTAAATTTATGTATTAATTATTGTATTTTGGATTTTTAGCCACAAATTATTGTTGATCAAAATCGAAAACCGCGTGAAAATGACTATAAGGATGGTCAAACAAGTAAGCGTCTACATTTTATATTATGAATAAATAATTCATATATATTGTAAGCTTATTAAATTTGAAAAATTTATATTTTAACTAATTCAATTTTAAAACATTAAGCACACGGTGCTTTGCTATTTGCAACTGTATGCTAATAATATCTTCATAGATTTACAAAATATTCATATTATGTACAGATGACGATCAAAAAGTTCGTTTTAAAATGACCAGAGTGCAATCTGAACAAGAAGTTGACAAACGTATTCATAAAGCACCTGAAATAATTTCGCATACACGAGATTTGTCGCACTTTCCTTCCATTGCCAAGTTAGTATATTTTATTACTTGCTTCTGAGAATAATGTAAAATTTTCCATGAATTGAGTAGAAGAAAAGCTGCATAAATAGAATGAGGATTAAATGAATAAAATTGAAGTCCCAATTTTACTAATATTTTAATGGATAAAACCAATGTAGAATGCAATTTCTGGAGCAATCAGTGGTTTGAAAGTTTTAAGTGTTAAATGATAAAAGAAATTCATAACGACTATGGTACGGTAATTATTCTTTTGATAGCTTTTATTCAACATTAAGCAAAGTTTTAAAGACCACAAATACGTAAAATATTTTACTTAAACAGTAGAAAAACTAAGCAGAATCATAATTCTGATCAGATAAGACACGAACTTGTGTTATGTGTATATTTACAGAGCCTTCAAAAATAAAAATGGTATTTTTTAGTCGAAGTTTAAATCCGAATAATACGAACTCTGAACTTTGCGAACTTGAGCGTATATTCACGTTTAGCAGGCAAGAATCGCCACTTCAACATACTATCAATGATAAAACATCAATTACGACGGCTAATCGTTTCAAACATTCACTTGAACAGGTTTGATAACACTATTTTTGTTTTTCCAATTTATGAAATAAAAACAAAAACACATTTATTCTTTTAAAGTACTTTTAGCACTGCTTTTCATATTTCCTTAATAATTATGATAATGTTTAACTTTTGTCAGCGTGTTATACGTGAAGCTCATTCCGCCGTACGTCTGAATAAAAAAATATTCGAGAAATCAAGTACTAGTGCTTTGGTTGTCTTGAATTTACCAGAACCACCGAAAAAAGAAAGTGCTCTTTCGAATTATATGGAATATCTAAATGTGCTCACAAATAATTTACGTCGTGTACTTTTAATACGTGGAAGTGGGTCAGAAGTGATCACTATGTATTCTTAACAATTATTGGTTCGTAAAAAGATTGTACAAACTGTATATAAGTTGACTTATTAATTACAATTAAAACGTGATTTGTAAAGTGTTGAAATAAAAAAATTACAGAAATTTAAGAATC